CGGCCGCCACCCTCCACTGCCAGCCCGCCTCTTCCCGTGGCGCTGGCGCTCTGCGGTGGCGGGCGGGCACCGGGTGGGGTGTCCCGCATTCCTGAAACGCCTGTGCGTGCAAGGAGCAGATTGTAACACCCTGCGGGCCACCCACATTGTTCCTACTCCCACCCTGCATTCTTCAGTAGCCCAAACTGCCCCCCAACCTGGGCCTCACCTCAGCCTTTCCTCCCTGTATCTAGGCTCACACCCCACAATGTCTTCCACCCCAGGCCTCACCACCCTTCCCTCCCTGTACCTAGGCCCACACCTCGTTGTCCCCTAGCCTAGACCTCATCTCTATCCTTGCCTCCCATACCTTTGCTGACACCTTCACGCTGTTTTCCTGCAGATACATCAAACCCTCTGAGATCTTCACCCCAATGGACTCAGCAGCCAGCTCAAAGGAAAAGGGCCCCTGGAGCTTCTCAGCCAGGAGCAAGAGACCATCTTGGGGGAGGACGAAGGGAAGACAGGAGAGGCTGTATACTGAAGTAGGACATTCCCACAAATCCTCACCAGGGCTTTAGAAGGAAGCTGCAAAGTGTTGGAGGAACACCCCCTCCCACATTGCATTTGCCTCTGCATGTGGCTCTAGACCCCTCCCTTCCCACACAGCCCTCAGCCTCTCTGAGGGCCCTCGTCCATCCCAGGCTTTGTTGGCCGCCCTCACCCAGATAGCTGCCCCAGTCAGGTTCCAGTCCCTTGCTGCTGAGACAGCCATGGGCCACATTGAGGCAGAAGCCTCTGCAGGGCATAAGTGAGGGAACTCCCCGGCAAAGGGGGCAGCCAATCAGACGCATCAGAGCCTGCCGGCAGCCTTCAGACACAGGCACCTGGGGGCAGAGAACTGGGCTGTTTCATCCACAAACACATTGGCTGCTCTTGGTCAAGCCTGTGGCTAGGCACAAAGAGAAGCCAAATGCAGTACCCAGACCCATGTCCCTACCGGTAACCAGACTGCCAAAGCTGAGTGGGGAAATTCCTAGGGGTCTGGTCACAGACTGTGCTTCATGGGAGGGGTATTACTGAGGGAGGTGTCTGAAGAAAGATCAAGGACAAGAGTGTCCTGGTTAGGGATCGAGGGGGTGGGATGGTAAGGAGGCAGGAGGTAAAGCTGAGAGGTCAAGTAGAAAATGGTGGTAGAGATAGGTCTTCAGCAGCAGGGAAGGAGTCACTGAGAGGTCCTGGGGGACCTAGTGGGGTCAGTACTCCGAGGTCAGACTGCTACGGAGATAAACAGGCCCTTAGAGGCTGGAGGGTGGTAGGAGTCATCAGAGCAGGAGAGGGTCAGAAGGTATAAGAGATCATGGAAGATCATGGTCAGTGGAGACTTGACTCCAGCCTCCCTCCTCCCTGATTTATCCTGGGGGTTTCAGGGCCTAGAGGCTGAAAGGGAAAGACCCCAGGCCTCTCTTGTCAGCTGGCACCTGTCTCTTCCTCACGGGGTCTCTGCCACTTCTGCTTCCCCATCCCTAGGCCCTGCCCACACTTGGACCCCTTCTAACCTTCAGCGTTTCACTGACCACACTTCTTCCAGTTTCCAGGCCCTGGACAAAGGCCCTGGCAGCCACGAGGGCCCGGGTTATCTGGAGAAAGAGAAAGAAGGTGAAAAAAACCACAAGTTGTCATAGGTCAATCAAAACTTGGGCCACGGGATTACACCCAAAGGATGAGCAGCGGGGATTAGGTTTGTGTGGTTATCTTGGGGTAGACAGAGTGTTAGGTACAACTGAGAGGCAGGTTCGGGGGTTCAAAGGAAATACAATCTAGAAGAATCAAGGGAAACTGGGTTTGGGAAGGGATGTAGCGTTTGTGTTGTACAGGGTGTGGAGACAGGGAGATTGTATATCAGAACCCTGAATTTGAAGCCAGAAGACCAAAGCGTGAGGCACAACTCCACCACTTACTGGCTATAAGACCTGAACCTCTGAGAGCCCCAGTTTTCTTATCTGTAAAAAAGGATACTGTCATGTATCTCAAAGAATTACGATGACAATTAAACGACATGTTATAAATGAAAATGCTTGTCGGCTGTTATGCCTACTTCATTGTTATTTGGGCCAGAGAAAGTCAAGATATTAGTTAGAATTAGGCAGGAGTTGGCAGAAAAGTGGCTTGGCTGGGACTGAGGACAGATGAGTATTTGTATAAAACTGGGGCAAAGAAGACGGAGTATCCCATTAAAGGAAAGCAAGAAACACTGCGTCACAAACAGGTGACCAAGGCTTAAGAAAAGTTAGACGTGGCTGAGATACAGGCTGGTGAGACTGGGGCACAACAGAGGGTCATCAGTTTGGAGGTGAGTGGTGCACAGTTCAGAGGTCACTGGGTTAGAGATGGCTAAAGCTCAGGCCTTGGGACTCCTCCTCACCTGTAGGCGGAGGCGACGGGGTGAGTCCCCAAAGGGCTGTAGAGAGCCATCAGTAGTCGAGGTGAGGCGTGTGAGGCAGAGCAGGAAGTCAGGGGGGAAGCTGTACTGTGGATGGAGCAGGGGGAACGCTCTCTCCAGGAGCTGCGCCCAGAAATCCGACAAGGTGTCATCTAGCCCCTCACCAGACTTCTCATAGTAGTCCCGCAGGCGAGAGAACAGGCCGTTGAAGATGAGGGCGTGCTGGGAATACAGGCGGCCATAGGAGTGCGAGAAGAGCTGGGCCAAGGATTGCTGGGATACAGAAAGCATCTCCCGAAAAAACTCTAGCAAAAGCAGGGAGTGAGGGTAGGTGGTGAGGCCAGAGAAAAGAACAGTGAAAGGGCAGAGGTAGGGGAGGTTGGGGATGAGGAAAGAAGAGAAGAAATAAGTGAATTAGAAACTGGGCAACTCCCAGAGACCTGGCAGATGGGGAATTAGGGGGACAGGGTCCTGGAGAGGGTCTGGGCAGGAGATTGGAGATAAGCAGGGCTAGGCAGGAGTGCAATGTCTTAGGATTGCTGGAGGAAGAAGAGACAGGAAACTTGCTGGGGTTTTAAGTACAGAAAGGAAGTGTGAAATGGCTTTGGGGACCCCATGTCCTCACCATTAAACTTTCTGTGCCGGGCAGCCAGTGTGTGAACCAGGAAGGAGCCGCTGTCTTCCACCAGGCCCCGGAAGACGGCCTCAGTCTCTCTGATCAGCTTCTGCTCGGTCTCACTGGAACAGCAGGTGTACTCCTGGGGACAGAACTGGAGGTGCTCTCCTGGACAGGGAGGAATGGTAGCAGGGGTGTTGTGAAATGCTGTCCACCTTCCACCTATTTCTAGGGACTAGCCTATCTCTCCCACCTGTCTATTCTCTTTTTCTATTGTCTGCACCTCTTACAGCCACCTGAACCCTCCTTAATGTCTCCTCAACCCATCTCAAGTCCACTCTCATTGGCCATGGGATCATTTGTTTGACAGCTGCCCTAGGGGCCAAATAAGACACCCAAGGCATCTGAGCGACTTGCAGGATAGCTTCAGTGGGATGAAGAATGGGGTTTGCAAAGGTGGGGTTATTTGGTAAGCAAGAAAGTATTATTTATGGAAGGGGCTCCTACAAATAGCCCAGAGAACCAGGCTGCGGAAGAAAGACCCTTAGGAGGGGTGCTAATTATTAGAGGGATTCCTGGGGTGGGGGTGGAGTAAAAGCTATTATGTGAGCAGGAGACTTATTGTGATCCTGGTAAGGAAGTTATAGGAGGAGGAGTGAGATTACTATAGGACGAAAAGATTATTATAGCGGTCACTCTAAAAGGGAAGAGTTATTGTCAGATGCGGAAGACCCGCCCCCCCACCCCGCGACCCGCGATTCTCTAGTCTTTCTTTCTCCTCACCTGAGATGAGGGCGGGAGGGATTAGGTTTAAGCTATATCCCCGGGCCCCCAGCACCTGCCGGGTCTCTGCACAACTCCTGGTGACCTTTGCCTCGCTCCCTGGTCCTGGTCCAGGACCGGGACAGAGAGGTAGTAGCAGAAGCAGGAGAGGTCGCAGCGCAGACATAGCTGCAGTCTCTCTGGGACAGCAAAGTGGGTCCTAGGGAGGAAGAAGAGCCGACGGAACTCCAGGATCCGGTTCTCGGCCGCGGGACCGATCTATCGGCCAGAGAAAGAGCACGACCTCCGAAAATTGAACACCAAGCAGGGTTGCTGGACCAGGCTGCAGCTGCGGAGACAATGGGAGCCCGGAGCCGGACAGGGGGCGGGGCCCGAGGTGGGGCCCCGCCAATGATAATAAGAAGCGGCCTCCCGGGCGGGGTCGGAGAAAAAATTAAGCCAATGCAATGGGGAAACTAGGCAGGGGGGCGGGACACGGCCACATGGAGGCATGGCCTTTCTTAGGGGCGTGGCGATCCCGCTCGAGGGCGTGGCCTGGGCGAAACCGGCCTATCGCAGTGAAGCTAGACTGAAAGAGTTGTTACTAGTCTAGTCCCCAAACCCAGTCAATGGAAGGGGAAATTTAAGGAACAAAGGGTGGGGCCAGGATGCTACAAGATTACAGCAGGCAGCCCGCCCCGCTACTCTCAAGTGACAGAACTTTACAGAACCGCACGCTTCAGGACTGGCTGCTGCTCGAGGCAGCCGGAGAAGCGTGACTGGAACGTGGTGAGCACGAGCTTGCACACTCCCAAGTATCGCGAGAACTAACCTGAGTTGAACGTTGGTCTCGCGCTTGCGCACAGTGGGCCTTGTGCCTTCCCGCGTTTTTCTAGACTGTTCCGCCGCTGACAAGGAAGTGGTGGGTTCCTGTGCAGGAGGTGGGTGACCACGGGGACCTGATGGACCGTAGGCAGTGACCTTTGCGCATCCATGCTCAGCTAGAAGTCACTCTTCAGGGCTCAGACAGTGAGGTTCCCCTTTGGCTCAAGAATGCGCCCTCTCCTACCTTCGGTGCCCGGAGATGAAGCGGACCGCCCCCCCCTCCGCCGCCATGTCAGCACTTCAGGGGCCTCGCTGCGGAGGCGGAGGACCCCACCCCTGAGAGACTGATGGTTAAGCGTTCGGAGGCCTGGATAAGTTTTTCTAGTGTTCCCCGTAGATATTCCCTTCAGGAAAAACAGGACACACCGCTTGGCGTCTCCATCCCCAGATTTTAAGCGCTTTCCATCCTGGTGTTTTTCTCCTTTTTGAAGTCTCTGAGAAGGGTGTGTCTATCACTACTCTGGGTGCTTGGGGAGCAGCTCCAAAATCTCGAGCTACTTTGTGTGTATGGCGGGTGGTGGTTGTGATTTGTTCCTTTCTTCTCCCCCCCCCTTACTTCAGATGGTAACTAGGGTGTCACACATGGACGGGAGGGATTAGGTTTAAGCTATATCCCCTGGGCCCCCAGCACCTGCCAGGTCTCTGCACAACTCCTGGTGAATTAGCTACATTCCCAGCCCTTGAGGTGGTGGTGTCTTTATTTTTATTTTATTTTTGCACGACTGGGGGTTGAATCTAGGGCCTCTCAGCTGCTCCCCAGCACTTTTTAAATTTTTTTATTTTGAGACCGGATCTTGCTAAGAGATAGAGATGCCCAGGCTGGACTCAAGTTTGGGAACCTTAGTGTCTTTAATCCTTTGATGTGGTTAGGCTAGGTCAACTCTTTATCTTATTTTTGGTACCCCCTCACCCCACTCCATGAGTTCTAGAGCACTTCCTTTGGGAAGAAAGGGGTTGGTCTGGACCAGGCAGGGATGGAGAAGTGGTATGGCAGGAGCCTTTCCTCTCTTTCTTTCCCCAGCTGGATCAGCATGCCTACCTTAAAGTCCTCTCAATCCTCCTCCCAGCTGCATAGCTCCTCCTCCCCAAGTAGTGTATCCTCTTCTCTACAAAGAGCTGTGGGAGTTGCACAGGAGGCCTTGTTGGCTTCTTCTAGTTCTTCTATCAGTCTGCCCAACGAAGATAAGGATTTGGAGCTGGCTTCTGAGGGGTGAGTGCAGTTGGTGAGATGTTTAATATTTTGCTGCTGCCTCCTGTATCCTCAGCGGCTTTCCAGTCTCATTCCATTCCTGAACTGGTTGTAATATGTGTGGGACTGTATGAAAACATCAGAAAAAGGTTCAGAACAGTAATATGCTGTATCTCTGCTGGGTATTTCTTGGCTGTCCTCCACCTTGTGGATATCCAGAGTAGCACAAAACCATCCAACTTGCTGTCTAAACCTGTCTTCAATACGTTTCTGTGTTCAACAAATATAAATGCTGTTGATGATTTGAGAGTGGGAGATTTACAGATAAACTACAGTGTTTTATGTGTTGCCTAACAAATTGTGTATATGTTTTAGTGTCCTTTAGTTTCCTTTCTGGGATTTTGAAAATCGGACCTATCCTTTTATGGTTTATGAGTTTATTCTGTGAAAATTAAAGTAGTATATCTTGGTTTTTATTTTTCCAGGAAAAACACCCTACTCTCCTACAAGATTTATTTTCTTTTCTTTTAACTGGGCTTCTCTGAATCTACTGCTGTCAGTACTACTGTTGGAGATCAGATTATATCACTGTTATACACTTTAATCACTACAACATGTGGTTGTGTTTCAAGGGGTGAATTATAACTCCACATACATATTAATCTGTTTATGAGTGACATGAATGAGTGATGCTGACTTTGGCGCACAGAAAAATAGTCCCCCTGCTGGTGAATACCATGTGATTCCCTCATTTGGAGAGAATATTAGGAAAATGATGTCCTTCCTCTATCTCATTTTCTACTTGATCTCTATTGCTTTCAAGAGACTGAAAAATTTGCTCTAAGACTTGCCCTTACTTTCTTGTAACTACTGCTACAAGCTCATCTCTTAAAATCTGAATATATCTTTCTCATGGAGGTAGGGTACAGTTAGGACAATGAGAATTATTAGTTAACCTTTATGTAGAGGGAATGATGTGGTTATATTTAAGGAGAATCATACTCCTTTATAGGGCTGGTCCCTCTCTGTCAGGTGATGAAAGCAGTGACTTTGAAGACAGCCTGAGGCGCAATGTAAAGAAGAGAAGAGCAAAACGACCACACAAAACAACCCCAGTGAGTCAGTTTTGTTTTTGAACCTGGTATGGGATGCAGCAAAAGACAACTCATAAGAGGCTCAGGTGACATAATTAATGAAAAGATAAGATTTAAAAGTTTTAAGGGTCAAAATTGGAAGATGTACTTTGAAGAGGAAAAAAATAGAACATTAGAATAGAGGTACAGGAATGGGGCCTATGAACTTTTTAAAAAGAGAAAAGGTTCACAATAATGTAAAAATCAGTTGTATAAAATTAAGTGTGAGGTAGTATCACACTATCAGCAGCTTAAGCCCCCATAGGTGATAATGAGGAAACCAAATATAACATCACTTTCTTCTGTTGTGTGTGTGACTCATCCTTTTACACTTACTAGGTGGCAAAACATCCAAAGAAGGGGTCCCAAATTATATGTCAGAATGGCCAGAAAAAGTCAGAACTACCAGCCTGTGATCTCTTTGATGCTGTGAAAGCTGCCAAAAGTGATATGCAGGTAAAGCAAAGTATCTCACCTCTGTTTCTTACTATCTCTTTATAAGTTAAGAACAAGTATTTATAAAATCAGTTGGATATGGACATTTTAGTGAGCATAATGTCAAGAAAGATGACATCATGGACTGAATCCTTGGAGAGGATAAAGGAGATCATAGACAAAAATGTTCTTTTCCTGAAGGAATCACAGGACAGCAGTAATTCTTCATTTATTGATTGAGGAGGCAAGGAGAATTGTTGATGACCTAGGAAGTAAGCCTGAGTATGGGTGGCAGCTTGTTTTCTCCTTTTACTTTTTAGCACCCCCCCTGACAATTACATCTAATTATTTTTACCACTCATTTTTTGTTTTTAATTGCATGTTCATCATTTACAAGGGTGTAAAGCTTTGTGTAGTTAAAAAAAACAAACAAACAAAATGTTCACCTACATCTCTAGCCCCTAGCTCAAGAGATGAAACATTAATAGAGCCATTGAGGTTCCTTGTGTATGTTCTTTCCACTGTAGTCTCCTTACTGCCCAGAAATAACTGCTAGACTGAATACTGTTAATTATTCTCTTGTATTTCATTATAGTGTTAACCACTAGTGATATGTTCCTCAATTTATATATGTGAACCCTTTCTTTGGTTGTCTGTGACTTGTTTGAGTTAGCATTTCATGAGATTCATCTATACTGATGTGAAATGTATATATCTTTTTATTGTTTTAGGGGAGTATTTTAAATTTTTAAACATGGAACTTTGCTACCTAAATTTTTGTTGTGATTTTTTAACTTAATTGCATTGTAGTCAGAGAATGTGCACTATGAAATTTATGGAGACCCAGGTTTATGACTCAGTAGTCAGTTACCAAAACCACTATGTAGGTACTTGCAGAGGATGTGTGTTTTCCGGTTGTTCTTTTGAATGGGATTGAAAAAGTTAAATGTGATGTTATGTTGATATTTCTATTGTTTTTTGTTTTATTTTGTTTTGGTCTGTGTAATGAATAAGTTAAACGGAGAGGTGTGTTAAAATCATGTTGATTTTTTTCAGTTATGCTCTTTGTATCCATGCCTGTATTCATCTTAGATATTTAGAGATTTTAAAATTTATATAGCTGGGTATGGTAGTACATTGCCAGCACTCAGAAGACTGAGTCAGGAGGATCACTGAGAGTTCGAGGTCAGCCTGGGCTACAAGGTGATTTCTAGGCCAGTCTGAGCTGCTTAGTGAAACCCTGTCTCAAAAAGACAAAAAAAAAAAAAAAAAAATTTACATATAGGTTTAGAATTGTTATAGCTATCCAGTAAATTAAACTTTTGTTACATACTAACACTTCCAAAACATTGTTTTGTTTTGATCCTGGGGATCAAACTCAGGACCTTGTGTTTGTGAGGCAGGAGGTGAAACCACTGAGCTAAATCCCCAGCCTCCAAAAGATGTTTTGATGTTAATATCTCTTTAATACCATCTTTTGGTTAGTATTTACCTAGTACAGTGATAGCCTTTTAGAGATGAGTGCCCAAACTCCAACCCAAAACCCACTTATTTATCACAAAGTACCTGTGCTACAATTAAACTGAATACTGAGGCTTTAGTTTAGAAAAAAGAACTCAGACATTAACATTTTTTGTCTTAAAAGAAAAATAATGTGCATGTCAGAGGTTCACCATCACTGGCTTAGTATATTTTTCTGTCTTTTCACTCTGTTTTTTGTGTATGTTTGGGTTCTGTCTTGTACATGCAATATATACTTGGATTATGTTTTTTATGTTGCTTGTCTATACCTTAGAGAATTTAATCCATTTATATTCATTATATCTGTTGATTTATTTAAATTTATTTCTACCATTGAGTGCCTCCTCTTTATATTACCTTCACTGTTTTTCCTCCATTTCCTTGTCTTCTGCAAGGATCTGAGTACATTTTAACTCCAATTGTCCCTTTCAGTTTGTATGCTGATGTATATCTTAATTTTGTCCATTTCCCTTCCCCAACGGGTTTTACTGTTTATTGTTTTATATACTTAACATATGTTAATGCATTTTTACCATTTTCATTGTTCATTCCTTGGATCTCAGCTTTCCTATATTGATTCATTTTCTTTATTTCCAGTTTGTCCTGTAAAGTTAGCTTTAGATAGAGGCTTATTAACAAACACTGTCACAAAAAACAAGAACCAAGATATATCATGTACAGGTACAAATTCCCAATGATGAATGTGATAATGTATACCTAAAATGTATGAATAAACAAAGGAAAAAAATTTAAAAAAACAAACAACATCAGATTTTTCTTGTATAGAAATAATTTTTTTCTTGGAGGACTGTTTACTAGTTATAGAATTCTTGGATGTCTTTCTTTTCTCAGCTCATTAAAGACATTATTCCACTGCCTACCACTTTCCTTTGTTGCTTCTGAAAGTCAATGTTAGTCTAATTTAATGATGTCCAATACAACATTTTGTAATGATGGAAATGTTCAGTATCAGTATCCACTAGCCACCTGTGACTATTGGGCTCTTTAATGTGGTTGGTGCAACTGATTAAATGGAGTTTGTTTGTTTGTTTGTTTGTTACCAGGAATCAAACGCAGGACCTTGTGCTTTCGAAGCAGGTGGCAGAACCATTGAGTTAAATCCCCAGCCCCAGCTTTTTTATTTTAATAGCCATATATGGCTAAGGACTAATGTATATGTACAGATCTCATACGTAAATATTTTAGCTTTTAAGTGCTAAATGCAGATCTTTTGTAAGTAATCTCTTTTTGCTTTGGTTAATTTGAACACTGCTTTTGTGTTCTGTTGTCATCTAGAATGTTTAAAAGTGTGGGCTGGGGGGCTGGGGATTTAGCTCAGTGATTCCACTGCCTGCCTTGCAAGCGCGAGGACCCGAGTTCATTCCCGAGTACCAAAAAAAAACCAACAACAAAAAGTGTACGCTGGGTTTGGTGGTACACGTGTGTAAGCCCAGTACTTGGACTTGGGAGGCTGGGGTAGGGAGGATCACTGTAAGCTCAAGGCCAGCTTGAATTACATAATGAGGCTCTGTCTCAAAAAAACAAAGAAGGGAGGCTTCACCCTCCTTTAAGTTTATTCATACGTGTACCTCAATGGCACCATGGCTGCCTCATAAGTGCAAGGTTGTGAGTTCAATCCCCAGTACCAAAAAAAAAAACACAAAAACAAGAAGGAAAGAAAAGAAAGGAAAAAAAGGAAGAGAGACAGAGGGAGTGGGGGAGGAAGGAGTAAATTCTCTTAGTTGTTGTGCTTGAGATCCAGGTGCCTTTGAATACATACGAGAAATTCTTTTCAAATACTGTCTCTCTGATGTCCTCGCTCTTTCTGCCTGTTAGTCTTTCTGATCTGTATTTTGCATACTTACTTTGACTCAGATTCCAGTTCATTTGTCTTCTACTCTGCTGTATCCAGTCTGCTTCTGCTTGTCTGTTGAGGTTTTAGATTTTATTTTGTGTTTGGACACAAAATACAAAGTTTGGACCATTTTAAAATTTGATTGTTCTTTTTTTCTACTTTAAGGCTTTTCTCTCTTTCTTTAATCATACTAAACATAATTCTTTATAACCTGATAACTTTTACATCTAAAGTATTTGTGCTGTTTTTCTAATTTTTTTCCTTTGCCTCATTTAATTATATGTTACACTAGGTTTTACCGTGACTCATTCATTTTTCCTGGAGCTGTGTGTGTTGTAATTCTTTGGGGCTTGAATCAAAGGTGGATTTTTAAGAGAGGAATCTGCATTTGCTTCTAGCAGTCTGAGGACCCTCCAGAATCACTTTTAATTATCCACATTTCCCCCGTAGTCTTTAGTGGATGAATGGCTGGAAAGCTACAAGCAAGACGAGGATACAGGATTCCTGGAGCTCGTTAACTTTTTCATTCGTTCTTGTGGATGTAAAGGTGAAGAAATAGTATCTATTTATATTCCTCAGCCTCTTAGTCCTACATTATGAAATGTTATTTAAAAAAGTAGGATTATAGACATTTTCCGTCTGCTCTGTTATTTTCCTTTTAAGTACCTCATCTCTTTAATTCTTTAGGCACTGTGACCCCAGAGATGTTCAAGAAGATGTCCAACTCAGAGATCATCCAGAATCTGACACAACAGTTTAATGAGGTGGATGAAAATGACCAGGATACTCTTATTCCTTTCATTTCAAAACTCAAGGCCCATTACATGCTTTTCTGTGATTCTGTTAAATAGTATAGCTTTTAGAAGAAAACATTCAATCTCTTGGGGCGGAAAGGGACGCAGAGATACTAGGCCTCTAGAGTTGGGAGAACAATAGGAAATGAAGTATATCAGAAATACATTTTACTGTACCTGTTGAATTTTGACATATAAGTCCTTATGACTTTTTGGACTGGATAATAACTTTCTCATCCTTTTCACAGGACTCGGGGGACTATCCCCTGACAGCATCAGGTCCATCCTGGAAGAAGTTCCAGGGCAGCTTTTGTGAGTTTGTGAAGATGTTGGTCTATCAGTGCCAGTACAGCCTCCTCTATGACAGCTTTCCTATGGACAACCTCATCTCTCTGCTCACTGGCCTTTCGGATTCCCAAGTCCGTGCCTTCCGTCACACCAGTACCCTGGCTGGTGAGCACCCATTACTTTGTGGACTTTCTTGGGAATTGGTAGGACTGTCCTCTCTGATTCTGGGTCTCCATTTCCACCTGCATTTTAGCTCTTTTTTTCAATGCGTTATTGCTGTTATCCAGTTTTTCACTAGTGTAAAAGGGGATGGATTGCAGCAATAATTTCCATTCTTAGTATCTTTTTCATAACTCACTCCTGGAAACACACCGAGGGTTAAAAGAAGGCCAAAAGAATTAAAGGGGAAAGTCCACTGCAGGACATGAATTTTAGCTTTTCAATTTCTCTGCACGTTTTTTCCTTCTCTTTTGAACTCATGCACACTTTTCTAACTTAAGTAATGATTTCTTTGTGATTTTCCTGACTCAAAGCCATGAAACTGATGTCTTCCCTGGTAAGAGTTGCCCTTCAGTTGAGTCTGCACAAGGACAACAATCAGCGTCAGTATGAGGCTGAAAGAAACAAAGGACTAGAGCAAAGATCACCTGAGAGGCTGGAAAGCCTCCTCGAGAAACGCAAAGAGGTGAGGAGTGCTCCCCGCAGCATATCCCTCTCAGTTTCCATCTCCTGCTGCCTGCAGACCACCTTATTAGGCTATGGCCTTTCTCTCCATAAGCACGAGCCCAGCAGCCTTTCAGGTCAGGAGTAATGGAGTCTGAAAACACCCTGTCAGGTCATTGTGTGCTCATCTTATTTCTGGGATGGGAGCTCAAAATCATGTCTAATTTCGAGTGAATTTAGAGTTCTCTTTATTTCCACTTTTATTCATTTTCAGTTGTCTGCGTTACTTAGCAGAAGTGTTAAAGTGCCGTACCTGCTTGTTGTACAAGGAGTCAAGTTTTTACCTTCATGTTAACTGTACAGTGTACAAGTTACCGCAGTAGTAGTGAAAGCTAGCCCCTCACCAGGAAAGCCAAGTTGTCAAGGAATGGGAAGAGCACAGGCCTAACTTTTACTCCTTGGTATGATTGCTGTTCTAGATAGTCACCAGTTAGCTCGGTGACTTTCAAGCAACCTCTCAAAAATTCAGTTTTCTTTTTTCTTTAAAAAGGATAATTCTACATTTTTTAAAATTTAAATGAGATGTTGAATAATTGCTTAGTCTGGCACATAGTAGGTATTTGCTTTGTTTCCCTTTAAATTTAAAGACTGGAAGACATAGCCTTAGAAAATCTTTTATATTGATTAAACTTTAAATAGCTGTGTCTATCACGCATGGAACATTAAAGTTTCTTCCTCACTCTCTTGTTAATATCTGAGATTCCCTTGCCATGAGGTTGCCAGGACACACCATATCTAACTGCTCCAATTTCCTGTTTCTCCAGCCCTCATAAAAAAATCTTTTCTGTTCTATACCATTACAGAAGGAAACTTCCTATTCCTTCATTTTCTTTTGCTATTTTTTACTCTCTGGATGATCTTAAATGCTTATGTATATTAATTTACAGTTACCTATATTAATTTGTAGTTATCTGTGAGCTTGCTTTCTATAGTTTTAGTCAGTGATGGACAACCAAGGTCCAAAAATATGTACAGTTTAGTAAGATACTTTGAGAGAGAAACCACATTAACATAAGTATACAGTTATAATTATTCTGTTTTTAAGATCTTATATGTACCTAATTTACAATAGTACAGGTTGCTGATCCAAAAATCTGAATTCAGGGGCTGGGGATTTAGCTCAGTGGTTCTGCCTCTTGCCTTGCAAGCACAAGGTCCCAAGTTCAATCCCTGGTACCAAAAAAAAAAAAAAGAAAAAAAAATCTGAATTCAAAAGTGCTCTAAAGTCTAAATTTTTTGAGCACCAATATAATACTCAAAATTTTTTGCTTTTTGGAGTTTTTCAGATTTTGGACTTCCAGATTGTGTTTGCTTAATTAGTAAAGTATGTTCCAAAATCTGAAAAATTCTGAAATCTGGAGTATTTCTGCTTTCAAACATTTCAGAGGGATACTCAGTTTGTATGTATATGTGTAGACTTTAGGATTATGTGCAGTTTTAGGCATCTGCTGTGTGTGTGGGCGTGTGGGGGTATATTGGAATGTATCTTCTGTGGATAAAGAGAGACTAGTGTACAGTAGTGCAGTTCTTTTTTGTCTTCTCTGGGCTTTTGAATGATTGATTAGCATTCCCCCTTTTTGTTTGATAAAAAAGCCCCACCCATGCACACTGGCATTTTTCTCCTCTGTTTGTAATGTGTGTATAAGGCCCTTGAATCTTCCTTCATGGTGCTTCTCTGTGATCTGCTCCTAAAATCTTCCCTTTTAGGGTAGTATTTCCTTACTTCCTTAATATCCAGCTGAATCCTTTTTGCTACCTAGCTTCTATTTCCATTTCTTTAATTAAGACTTTTCTTTTGAAACCAGTAATTTTTCTAAGTACTATCACCAGTCTTTTCCTGCCTTCCTTTTCCAGACTTGTGTAGGATTTGATACTGATAATCTAGATTGACTCTTTCTTTCCTTCCTTTTTCTTTATTGTGAAAATTTTCAGAACTTTAGAAAAGCAGAGATACTTGGTATACTGAATACCATATAAACATCTGGTTTAACATCTAGTAATTCATTGTATTTTCTTGGCTTTTTAAAAATTTTTTTTACAGTAAATTATGGACACACTGATCCCTCAGTGTTAAGTATAGTACTTAAGTATGTCCTCTAAAAAGTAACATATTCCTTTATAAAAATTTTTTTTTTTTTTTGGTTTTTTGAGACAGGGTTTCACTATCTAGTGGAGACTGACCTGGAACTCATTATGTAGCCCAGGCTGGTCTCGAACTCACAGTGATCCTCCTGCCTCAGCCTCCGGAGTGCTGGGATTACACAGGTGTGCACCACCACATCTGGCATTCCTATATAATTTTAGTACCATTTTGATACCAAAAATGTAATGATTCCCTAATATTTTCTTCTTTTTTTTCTTTTGGTACTGGGAATTGAACTCAGGACTTTGTGCTTGCTAGACAGGCATGGCAGCACTGAGCTATATGCCTAGTCCATCCTAGTATTTCTAATTATAATTAATACTTGTATTTCCTATTTGTCCCCCATATGCTATTTATATCTGGTTAATTCCAACCAGAATCTGAGTAAGGAATGTATTGCACAGGGTGGTTGTATTTCTTAAGCCTCTTTTAATCTTACATGGAATATCTGTCTTCCCTTTATTTTCTTCCAGTATATTAATTTATTGAAGACATTGGGTCTCTTATCTCAAAGAAGTTCCTTTTGTCTTTATACTTCTACTTCTTCGGTATTGTTCATCTAATCCAGGGTTTCCTAGCAATGGCACCATTGATATAGCTGCCCTTGTAAAATGTTTAGCATCATTCTTTGCCTCTGCTCGAGCCAGTAGCATCCTGCTACCTACTGTAACTGTGAGAGCCAAAAATATTTTCAGATATTGCAAAATGACCTCTGGGGGATATAATGGCCCAGATGAGAACCTCAGATATAAATTCTTGCTATAGTTTTTTACGGGTTATATCAAACCACATTTATTAAAAATTCATTTTCCCTGTTGTTATTAGTCAAAGACATTTATACTGCCAGTTAGGGCTTCTGAGTAGTGAGAAGAACCACATAGACAAGGAGATATTTTTACCAAACTAAAATAAACCTGTGAGGCATTAGTTGACTGTACTATTTCTTCTAGAATAAGATTTAAGAGGGGACATAGGATTTGAGGTTCACACTATGTCCTGTAACAAGATAAAAGTGGAAGTAGTACTTTTCTATATCTTTTGTGACCTTGTGCTGTTAGGGTACAAGAGAGATTGATCTGTTCTTCCCTGTCCTTCAGCTCCAAGAACATCAAGAAGAGATTGAGGGGATGATGAATGCCATCTTCAGGGGTGTCTTTGTTCATCGGTACAGGTAAGAAATGGGCTCTTTTCTCTGAAGCAGCACCTCCTTGGTTGTGGGGTCTGTAGACATGACAGGGTTCCTCCTTAACCCTGATTTATTTGGTTAGTCCTAGAATTAATACAGCTGGAGTAAAAACTCTTTAACAAACAATGAGTCTTTTTTTTTTTTTTTTGAGATAGGGTCTAAATATGTAGTTGAGACTGACCTGGAACTCACTGTGTAGTCCAGGCTGGTCTCAACTCACAGTGATCCTCCTGCTTCAGCCTCCTGGGTGCTGGGATTACAGGTGTGTGCCACCACGCCTGGCCTAAGAATGAGTCGTATTAAAGTTTAATTTATTCCATGCTAGGGATTTAGCTCAGTGGCTCTGCCACCGGCTTTGCAAGCACAGGTCCCAAGTTCAAGCCCCAGTACCCCCCCCAAAAAAAATTGGGGCCAGGGATTTAGCTCAGTGGTTCCACTGCATGTCTACAAGCACAGGGACCTGAGTTCTTTCCCCAGTACAAAAAAAAAAAAAGTTTAATTTATCCCCACCTAAAAAGGATCTTTAAACTTTTCTGGGAGAACAAACAAAAGGTTAAGGCGTTGCTGAGTATTCTCCCACTCCAGTTTTGTCCAGGACCTGTTTCACTCTGTCCCCCATCTTTTGGGGGTTTTAGAGTTGAAAAGACAAGAACAGAGGTAGCTTTTCTGAGGGGTGTGTGGTGTGTGTGTATGTGGCTCAGCAAGCCTTTTCCTACCCCAGCTTCCTTGTTTCACTGTACTAAGAGCAAGAGTTTTTTGTTTTTGTTTTGTACTGGGGATTAAACTTGAGACCTTACACTTGCAAGGCAGGCAGCAAAACCACTGGGCTAAATCCTCAGCCCAAGAGAGTTTTATACTGTTTTAAAAACTGGTAGAATTAGGCTGGTCATGGTGGCACATACCTGTAGCCCCAGCATTTGGGAGGCTGAGGCAGGAAGATTGCTGTGAGTCAAGGCCAACCTGGGCTACATAGTGAGACTCTGTCTCAGAAAAAAAAAAAAAAAAAGAACTTCAATAGAATTTATAGGAGTTTTTCACTTTTATCTTGATTTCAGCTTCTGCCTTTTGGAATCTTGTGACTGATTTAATCTTTTCTTGAAGTGGAATTATTATTACTATTTTATTTATTTATTTTTTGGTACCGGGGATTAAATTCAGGACCTTGTGCTTGCAAGGCAGGCATGGTACCACTGAGCTAAATCCCCAGCCCTTCTCTTGAAGTGAAATTAAACACACACACTTTAGTCAACAGTTAAATGAACTTTCAAAATCAGTTTTTATAAAGGGTGTGAGGGTGTGTAAGATAAGATTGTACAGTGCTGGTTCAATTCTTAGGAAGTGTTTACTTTCCTGTATATATTTGTGTTTACATTGGGAAGAGAAAAGTCACGGTGCCTGGCATCTGTCAAGAAATAAGTCCTAGGAAGACATGGTGGTGTAATCTCAACACCACTTAACAACTTAGTGAAACCCTGTCTCAAAATGAAAAATAAAGTGCTGGATTTACAGCTTAGTGAAGGTCCTGTGTTTAATCTTCAGTATCTCATTTAAAAAATTCTTCAGTGAACATTATATACATTTATGGAAATATCACCCTGTATCCCATTAATGTGTACATTTAATATGTTAATAAAAAGTTATTTAGAAAAATTTCTTCAGTGAGAGAGTGATAGGGAAAACCTTAATAAGGGAAAATTTAGGAAATGTCACAATATAAGATAACTTCTGCCTCTCGCCCTGCTTAGTTCAGAATTAACTGGTACCGGGAGACACCTAGTCTCCTCACAAAAGTTTGTAAGTGGAAAGAACCATTGTTACCTTTGTTAGTCAAACAGGCTCCCTTCCCCTTGGCTAGAGTAGGCAATTGAATGAATTTAAAAGGTAATTCCCTAGCAAAGAACTGCATCGGGGTTGAAACTCAACTGCCTTGCAATCAAGTTTTGGGTATCTGTGAAAATGCAATGTAACCAACTGAGTAAGATCAAAGCTGTAAAACCCTATAAAAGTAAGAGTTGTAGCTCAATGGAGGAGTCGATCAGGGCACCGCCATTAGGTGTGATCAATCCCCATCGATGGAGTAAACTTTTTAATTTTACTTCCATTCTGCTGCCTCTCCATGTGTCACTTGCCATCTCCTTCCTTAACAAGAGGACTACCTAGTAAGATGATAATGAATTTGGAGAGAAAGTGATAGTTTATGTCTCTGCCTAGGGACATCCTTCCTGAGATCCGTGCTATCTGCATTGGAGAGATTGGATGCTGGATGCAAAGCTACAGTACCTCTTTTCTCACTGACAGCTATTTAAAATATATCGGCTGGACCCTGCATGATAAGGTGAGCGTTAAGCCAGTCTCCTTTTTTTCATATCCCTCATCTTCTCTGCTCCAGGGTACTTTACCTTTTCCTGGTCCTGCCATTTAGACATTTCACATACTGAGCAATTATCAGGTCATCAAGTCACTGAGACTTGCAACTCCCCTAGACCTGGGGATGGTAGGATAAGGTAGACGGGAGAAAGACATGTCCAGGGGATGAAATGCCTTCAAAGCTGAGGTAACAGAGAGAAAACTTTCCCTATGGAAAAGCAAGAAAGTTATCACTGGATTGGTGATAACACAAATACTAGACTGTTAGCTAGAGATCCTTTTCTTCATGCTTGCTCAATTCTTCATGCTTGCTCAATTCTTCTGTGATTTGTTTTTGTTTTGAGTAAGAGGGCAGCTGTTTATGGTCTCTTCCTTCTCAGAAGTCTTCTGTGTGGAGAGCACCCAGAGTTGGAATGAGGGCTCTGTAAGAGGTGTACATAGGCTCAGTGGGGTGAGTAGTGGGTCATATTCCTTTCTCTTGTTTTTCCCTTCTTGACAGCACCGGGACGTCCGTCTGACATGCCTGAAAGCTCTGCAAGGACTGTACAGCAACCGGGAGCTGACTGCTCGCCTGGAGCTATTCACCAGCCGCTTCAAGGTATGGTAGGGAATGCACTCCTGCGCTTGGCTCCTTGCTTTATAGTTTCCCTTTCCCCAATGGATATCTTTCTTTTGTTGCTCTATTCCTGCATCCTCTCTTTAGAGTCTCTCAAATTATAAGAGAATGTGGTGCCCAGTGAGATAAAGTGATGCTTTCCTGACAGGACCGGATGGTTTCCATGGTCATGGACAGAGAGTACGATGTGGCAGTGGAGGCCGTCAGGTTGCTGATCTTGATCATGAAGTGAGTTCTGGGAAGTGGGGAGGCAGCACTTCAGACTTATGAACATCAGGCAGGACCCTTCATAGTCCTGTTCTCAACTATTTATGGGTTGGCTTTTTCTCATGTGCATTTTGAAAGACAGAGGTTACACCCAAGTTGAGGGTCCTCAAGGGGGATGCTTTCTTCTCTAGCTCTCCACACTCCTCTATCTTCCACTCTTCCTTTAGAAGGTCTCTGTGAGTCATATCCTTGTTTTTGCTTCAAACCCTGATTGTTCTGGAGGACAGCCTCCACACCCACCTGTTCTTCCTCCTTTTTTCTCCGCAGGAACATGGAAGGAATGCTGACCAATGCAGACTGTGAGAGTGTCTACCCTGTTGTATATGCTTCTCATCGCGCCCTGGCTGCTGCTGCGGGGGAGTTTTTGTACTGGAAGTCAGTGGGTCTTCTTGTGCATCTCTCTCATATCCTCCTCTCTTGTTTTTTCTCTCATCCACTGCTGCTCTGCCTGGGACTCCTCAAACCTATTAAACTCTCTCTTGGTGTCCTCTTTCCTCTTGGCCCCTTGGGCTTTTCCCCATTCTGCATTTTTTTCCTCCATTCTTCATTTTTTCCCCTTTGTCTGCTTGCTCCTTAGATCCTTTCCTCCCTCTGTGGTAGTTTGGCCTTCCTCACTTTGTCCTGTGCTATGCCCTTTCATGCTGTGCCCTTTCTTTGTGTCTGTCCCACCAGGCTCTTCTACCCTGAGTTCGAGGTGAGAACAGTTGGCGGCAGAGAACGACACCGAAGTCCACAAGCCCAGAGGACTTTCTTCCACCTTCTGCTGTACTTTTTTATGGAGAGTGAGGTGACGTGTGCATGGAATGCCTAGCTGTTTGTATAAAACCTCTGAATAGAGAAGGATGGGTAGGCACTGTGGGAAAGAGGTGATGTTTATTAGAAACCACTTCCTCCTGAAGGAGGGGTTTTTATATTGAGGGGGCTTTCTTTTGGTGATAGCAGGTATTGAACCCAGGGCCTTTGCTCAGAGCTACACTTCCAGTCCTTTTTTGATACAGGATCTTGTTAAGTTGCTGAGTTGTCCAGGCTGGGCTCAAACTTGCAGTTCTCCTGCATCAGCTTTCCAGTTCTGGAACAGTTTACATGACATCATTAACTTACCCAGTGCCTTCTCCACAGCTCCACTATCATGCTGCTTACTTAGTAGACAGCCTGTGGGATTGTGCAGGGCCTCATCTAAAGGACTGGGAGAGTCTCACAAGCCTGCTGCTGGAGAAGGACCAGAGTACGTGCCACATGGTAGCCAGGCATGAGGACCTTGTACCTCCTAGTGTAAAACAGAAGAGGTGGCATGGGGTGGAAGGGGACTTGGGGAGTGGCTGATCTGTGACTCTGTCTGTCTTTATTCACCCTGCCAACCTAGACCTGAGTGACGTGCAGGAGAACACGCTGATAGAGATCCTTGTGTCCAGTGCCCGACAAGCTGTGGAGGGTCACCCGCCTGTGGGGCGGGTCAGTGGGAGAAAGGTATGGCAGGAAGGGCAGGTATGTAGGTGAGTAGTACTGAGGGCAGACATGTGTCT